AAAAGTTTCCTACAAACTTGTCCTCGGTGATAGAATTTGTTCAAACTGTGCTGACACTGGAGGAAAACACAGACAGTTCCAAGAATTTTCTGCAGCAAAGAATAAAATTGCATGAACCTGAGATCAAAAAAGTATCGTTTATGGACAAAAGAGTTCAATTAAATTCATATATTTGTGAGATTCCAGATGTTGACTGTGCAAATAGTTACTGTTACGATTTAGTCATGATTGGTGCAATTAAATCAAACTGTCTAATGATATTGTTTTAATGATTGCTACAGTTTGTATCTGGATATTCCTCCAAAGTCTTATGCACTTTTAGATGGGTCTTTTTCAGAGGCAGCTGAATCTAGAGTTTGTGATTGATTCATGGTTCAGTGTTAGGATTAAGGGTGCTAGGGTTAAGGGTGGGTGATTGCTGGATCAGTCCACTGATTGGATTGGCACCGCACTAATCCCAACAATCTGGATCTGATAAAAGGGGGAAATAGAGGCTTGTTTCTTCCTTTTGCTCTTGTTACTTTTGGGTGTATTCCTCACCATGAATGGTTTGCTCTTGTTACTTTTGGGTATATTCCCCACCATGAATGATTGCTCTTCTGCCATGCCAACTTGCCTTGAAGCCAACTGACTATAGACTGAAACCTCTACAAACTGTGAGCTAAATACCTTTCATCCTTTAACCTTGGGTGTTGGCTATCTTGTGTCAGTTAGACAGAAAAGCAACTAAAACACTGGTTCTTCCGTTAGGCTTTGCTTCCTTAAGGGACTTTGTCCAGGGAAGGATAAAAGATCATGCCTTTTGTCACCACTATAAACAAGTTTGGCTGTTTTGTAGTTGCTATTCCCAATCTCTGCCAGGGTAATACAGAAATAAACTAGAAAACCTCAGGAACAATTTAGAAGAAGAAAAAATGTTTTCAAATTTGGCATCTTTATTATTTTGTTAGAACTCACTTTCGTGAACATTCTTGATAATTTCATCTTCATTGTGATTAGCAAAATAATTCCCACCACCAAGATGTTCACATAGTAATCCCTGAAATATATGACTTGTTACTATATAGGACAGGTGCAATAAATTGGAGGACTTTCAGATGGCGAGATTACTCTGAATTATCTACAGTTAATCATTCTAATCATAGATGTTCTTGCTATCTTTCCCACTGTGGTCACAGAAAGAGAGGCCGTGATGAAAAAAGTTAAAGAAGAGTAACACTGTTAGCTTCAAACATAGAGGAAGGAAGCAAACAGCCAAGAAGAAGTATGCATGGCCTCTTCAAGCTTGAAAGGTAGGAAACATTTTCTTTGAGAAACTTCACAAGAAAATCCAATCTTGATGACACTTGAAGTTTATCCTAAATGCACATGTGTTAGATTTTTATCCCACAAAACTTAATATATTTGTGGTTTTAGCCAATGGCTTTGTGGTAACTTGTAATAGCAGCAATAGAAATATTATTACAACTACTAATGAAACTTTGTAAAATGTACTCCACTTTAGTAAAATTAGCTCTTCCAGCAGAAAGGCGAAAGGCACTGGGGAAGAAAAGGAACAGTGGAAAAAAGGTGATTTATTATTTCCATCTGTTCTCTCATTTTAGCCAATGCTTTTTACAACTCCTCTATTAGTTTAATTGCTCTCTTGACACTTAGAAGTATAAAAAAGAAGGGTGTTATTGGCAGGCTAGAATTTAATTAAAGAATCCTAGGAATCTGGGTCTGAAATCCTTTTTCTCATTTGAGAAATAAGGAAAATATTTTGAGACTGATTCTCAGTGTTCTCAGGATGAAGACAAATACATCTACAAGGCATAAATAAAAGAATACTTAAATAATGAAAGTGCCCAGTATATCCTAACAATGGATTTTAGTAATTTATTACTATTTCCATTTTTTTCTGGTGAGTCACATAAAAGAATAAATAAAGAAGATATACAGCTAAAGTTCACATTGAGAAAATTCCAGGGACAAGGGCTAAATTTAAAGTCTATAACCTCTAATTTTTTTCACGGATTTTTCCCTGAATCAAAGGATGGGCTATTATATTAGAAATGTCCTCAAATCACCATTTTACATCTAAAAATTCACAAAATAGCCCGACCCCATATCTATGCTTTATCAAGGAGAGCACTTAATACCATTCATAGAAAATGGGTTCCCAGAACACAATATAAAAGATGTCTAAAATATTCTGTTCATACAGCTGTCAAATACAAAAATCACCAACATTAATAGACCACCATGAAACCTATCTGAATGACTAATCCTTAAACTGAGTCATATCTGGAGCTTCCAAGGTTGAATTCCTAAAAGCATAGCCAAATCCTAAAAGCATAGCCAAAACCTGGGAATCTTGTGAAAGTGATTTATTGCTCATGTGCTCTCAGTCAGAAAGGTACACAGCCAAAAAGGGCAGAGAAAGAAAGCTAAGTACATATTCAGTCTCTCCCAGAGACAAATTCAGCCTGGTTTCACTGGAATTCACAGAGACCTTCAGTCTTGAATGCTGTTTAGTAAATCTGTTTCACTTAATGAGAAGATGGCACATATGAATTATGAAATATCAACAGGTTCAGCAGCCAGCTCTCAGGGGAAGAAACTGGGGCAGTCACAATAGCATCCACTACAGTAGAGGTCACAGCATCCAGCCAGGGTCAGAACCCCTAGATCACAACTGAATTCAATTCAAATTATAGTACAATCGCTAGAGCAGAGTTTTAAGTCATGCTCTTCCTGGAAGAATAGAAATGCACCACTTATATACAAGCATTTTGAAAGTTTGGGCTTAAGATTTAGGCAGACCTTTGAAAAAGGACACTCTTAGATACACTAGAATGAAACCTAGTAAAATATGCATCACTAATTATGATGAAAAATCACATATCCATATATGTTCCTCAAAGATATTCTTACATTCGTGCTATGCTGTAAGTCACTTTGACCAACAAGGGAATGACTTGTTTTAGAATTGTCTTTTAGCAAACACATATACAAAGAGAGTCTACACTTATTATTCATCACTTTTTATCATTGCAATGCTGGGTAATTACATCTAATAATTAAATAGGTGTCCCACATGAAGGTTGAGAGTTGGATCCTTCAGTCATACATCTGATTATTTTATAAAATAAAAATTTCAATGACTAAAATGATAAATATCAGTATCACTTAAATACCTCCTGCTTGATAAGGAAAATTAAAAGAAAAATTTTTAACATATTTATGTCTTATTTTATAAAGGACATTGAACTTTTTTGATATACATATTGATTGTATCATAGAAACAGTCACCACCCTTTTGTTCATTTTGTTTTACATTAAGATACACTTTACAGATCCTCATTAACCTTTAGATTTATAGGAACAAGATAAACTTTCTTTATCCTTAGACACATTTTAACATGATCTTTACTACTTTTTTGAAAATTTTCAGTTGGCTCAAAGATTGAAATATTATGCCAGTTTTCACAAATGTTAGTTAATTTTACCTAATGGACTATTGCCAACACATAATTGCGGCAAGATGATCTTCATTTTATTTTTTAAATTCTTGGTCTTTTTAATAAGATAACATTGATTAATACAAGCATTAAAAAACTCAATTTCAAAATAAATAACTGATTCATTGAAATTCTTGAAAATAACTCCCCTTTAAACTTGAATTCTCAAGCCACAAACATTATTTTGCTGACCTGTACATGAATTCAATCTCAATATATTGGAAAATCTATTTTCAGATAGGAACATGTAATAAACAGGCACCACATTTGGAACAGCACAGTTAGATTATAAAACCAACCTGTGCAGCCACACAGAGGGAGTTGTTTAGTAATAATGAGAGTATAAAACCTGTCCTGGGAACGTTCCTAATTAATCATCTCATCCTATAATCTTTGTCAAAACCTTAAATGAATTAAGTGTTTGGCTCACCGATAAGTGGGATGCAGCAAAAGTAATTGAACGTGGTAATCAAAAATTTGTTAAACCTGTCACTGCACATCATTATCAGCTTTAAATCCAACACAACACAATTAGCTTACAATAGTTATAGTTGAATCAACTCCTTGCTACGGTTGGGTGAGTAATGCACACTCGTCAGTAAATTAAATTAAACTCCAACTAGATGAACATAATAAAGGATGCATGTGTGAATGGTGCAAATAAGGTAAAGCATGGGATTTATGGAGTGCTAAGCCTGTTCCCTGAAGCAATGTGGGCTGCATACAGTTCATTCCTACCTCTGTACCAGCAGACAGGGACACACAAGGACAGTCAACATTATATACTACAAACATGTGCCAGTAAATAAAACTTTAACATGTGATAAATTGTTTACCAAAAATAACCCTAATGAAGAAATATTTGTCTTACTAATGTATTTGAACAGAATTAAGAAATCTAGAAGTGCCAAAACCCACACCACAGCACACACCCGTAATGCCAGGTATTCTGGAGGCTGTGGCAGTAGGATACCAAGTTTAAGGTCAACTGGGAGGCTTAGCAAAACTCTGCCTCGAGAAAAACAGACAAAAAATAACTGTAGCATGGTCTCCTCTTGCAAAATGTATTAATTAAGTAAAATAATCTTAGGACAGTTGTAAAATCCCACCTATAACTCAGCTACATGTTACAAGGCTGAAGACTGAGTATCTTTTGACCCAAATGTCATTGATATTTCATGTTATAAACCTGAAACATACAAGTTTACCCTGTTTGGGGTAAAATTTCAATTAATTTAAAACTGCATAATGAGAATGTAAATGTGAATAATGAGGATGTTCATATATCTTGTAAAGGATAGCTACTTCCCAGTATTATGATATCTGAGAAATCAAATTATAAATGTCCCTGGGCAATACATTATGGTCCTGAATTTTTTTTTTTATTTCATTCATACTATGTAAAATACGTGTGGGTACTTTTGAGTTTTGAGACCAGACTGATTTTATCTCTTAGATGTTATATTTTGGAAAGTATAAAATATTAACAACTTTGCATTTTTTCTAACTGCCACTACTACTATTTTCAAAATTTCTTCTATCACTGTCACTCAGATATATTGAACATATTTTCATCACTCCTACATGTTATAGCATGTATGTTGGTTGCCTTCTCTGTTGGTCCTTTCTTATTGCCTTAAGCCAGCCTTCCTAATCAAGCAGGAAAGTCTGCAAGTCTCAGTTCAGAACTGATCACCTCTGGAGAAGACTAAACTTACCCTTCTGAATTCCTGTGGCTTGCAGTTGGAATCCAGTGACTTTTGGTAAGTGTTTGAGTATTTTTCTGATTTGTAATTTTGACTGACTTGTGCTTTGCGGTTGTCAAGTTAGAGGTGAGGTGATAATTCCATAGCTTAATGACTTTCAAATAAACATTCTGCATAGTTAGGAAATTGTTATTTGTTTCTATTGGTAATTTTTTTTGAATCTGAGATATGATCTGAACAGCTTACACAGAAAACAGAAAATATTCCTATTAGTTGGAAGATAGATACAGTCTCTCATATTTATACATAAAAGTTACTCCTAGTTTTGTACTTAAATTTCCCTGGCAAATTGAAACACAAATATTTTTAAAGGAATTATAATAACTTTGAGGTTATAAATCTGTACTTTTATTTCTTCATTGTTCTCTTGCAACTTGTAATTGCATCTGATCTTTAGTTGCCCTTGGTTTACCAATATTTAGATGCTTGATCTCCTCTGGATCATGATCCTTCATTGTCATCATGATGATAGACATCTTGGAGTATAGGAGGATTTTTTATGTAGTGAATTTAAGCAGCTTCTGATACTTTTTGCCCTTCACATAAGTGACATTAATGCCTAATACAAAGTTTATTATGTTTTGCAATACAGGTTTCTTTTAAATTAAAGATTGTGCAGTTGAGTGAAACTACATAATCTTAGTTGCAGTTATCTTGAGTGAAATGAGCATTATTCAGTGAATGTCCTGGGCATACTGGAAAGTTTTTAAACATCTAAATAATAGACAACATTTTCACATGAGTATCTCCTGTGTCCATGGTACTGTATATTTTCTGGGTAGAGAATACAAAATAAATAAAAGAGAGACCCTACCATTGCAAAATCCACAACTTAATCCAAATATGCATGTATGAAATGAAAAGCTGGTAAATAAAAATCATTTGAACATAAGTTCTAGAAAGTCAGACAAAATCCTGTTGCAGAATAAAAATTTATAACTTTAAAACAGCATACATGCCTTGGTCACATAAAACCAGACACTCTAGGCCGTCACACAGAGCATGATAAATTGCAAAAAGGAGCCATGCTATCACAGTAAGTCCAAGTCAGTCAGGTTTTTTCACTCTTTAGCACTGGAAAAATAGCTGCATTATGAATTAGGCTACATGAGCTCAAAATAGACTCTCAGTTCTCAGCTGTCATACAAAACTGGAACTTGATATCATCGCAGGTTAGGAAATGGTTCCAACAGTTTTAAGAGGCAAAACAATAAGGATTCTGAACACTCCAAATGATTTTCACCACCTAGTTCTAAATTACTTTTCAAAACTTACAGTGCAATTGAAACAAATATAAATGTGCATCTGTATCTTAACCATCCAAGATTCCACTTAGCACTTTTCCATATATACTTCATCTTATGTTTAGTCACCTGTCCATTCCTTTATTATCCCTTAGTTCATGTTTGCTTTTAATGCATTTCAAACTAAGTTGCAGACATAGGTATACCTCCAATATAAACAGTTTGATTATTTGGTTCATATTGTAAGTATAATGTAACTTTCATGAAATGCACAAATGTTATGAGTACTACTCAGTGCACCCTGATAGATTCACAACCTGTGTAAATTCAATCCACATCCATAAATCAAGACCCGCTCTTGGTATTTGATGTAGAATATCCAGAAGAATATTATCATTAGCCCAGAAAGTTCTCTACTGTTCCTTCCCCAATAATCCTTACACATGCTAATCCCAAGGAAAATCATTGTTTTTATTTTTTCCACCAAACATTAGTTTTCCTGTGCTAGTATATCAACAAAAAGGAATTCAGTACTATAAGGCAATTTTTATTGATGTATTTTTGAATTTATCCTCTTTTATTCAAGTAGCTGTTTTGCTAGCATTCCACTATACAAATATGCTTATTCATGAACTTAGTGATAGACAATAGGTTTGTTTTCAGCTTTGCACTGCTATAAACATTCTAAGAACATTCATGTACAAGCCTTACTGTGCACAAGTATTCTTACTGGAGTGAAACTATTAACTCATATAATGGGTATATCTTTACAGTGAAGTTACCTCTTTCTCTCTCTCTCTCTCTCTCTCTCTCTCTCTCTCTCTCTCTCTCTCTGTCTCTCTGTCTCTCTCTCTCTTACACACACACAGACACACACACACACACACACACACACACACACACACACACACACACCCCAGAGGCACACACTTACATATACACATGTAAATTTTAAGTCATTCAAATGCATATGTACTTGTATCTCTGTGATTTTAATTTTACTACTAATATAATATAATTATATTAGTATAACAAGATAGAACCCACATAGAAGTTTAAACTATAAAACTTTAGTATAAAAATCATTAAATTATAATAAAATAGTGCCACAGTGTCCTAGGACTGAGAGCACTTCTGGAAGGACAAACTTGGAAAAAAGAAGACTCTCTACCCAAGGCTCAGGTCAAACACTGTTGAAGAAGGTGTAACATAGGCCATTTGATGAGTAAAAAAAAATCTCTAATACTAGTCTGCAAAACTGGTGAGCACACAGCAGCCCACACTGTACAGTGGGGAACAGGCAGCAGCAATCTGTGTGATCTTGCTGAGAACGTGGGATCCTCCAGGACCCAGACCTTTAGCAAGTTGGACCTACAGAGGGAACACCAGCGGGATATAAATTTGAAGGTTTTACAGGAGAGAACTAAGATGTTTGGACCAAGAGGAGGTCTTAGGCCCTGGTTTCCTTGTCAAGGGCCTTGGAAAGTTATGAGAACAGGCTCAAACTCAAGGTCCTTGTAGAGCTTCACACTCAGAGACTACTGCTGTCACAAAGCCCGCCTGGCTGTCCTCCCAGCCACCTTTCAACAACCAAATCCTATGGAGAGCACCTTCTTTCTTCGAGGTCTGAAAGCACCCTTTGCCAAGAAATCTTCACATTGAGCTTACATGTACTCATTATTTTTATTTATTTATTCATCAGTATTGAGAATTGAACTCAAGATCTTACACTTGCTGTGCAGGTGTTTGTGCTGCACAGCTATATCCTCAACCTTGAGCTTACTCTACAGGAAAAGTGGTTAAAGAAATCTCTTGCTCACAAAACATATACTAAAAGACAAATTAAAAACTGAAAGCATAAACCAAAATAAATCTCTCTTCCTCTAAGTTACAGGTGTTTGGTATTTTGTCCCACTGACAAGAAAGTGACTGATGTAAGTACTATGCCATCCTGTCTCTCAAAATCAGTATGAGGGTTTTATGTAATAAGAATATACCCAAAATATCAAATAAAGTTTATTCTATATTTCTATCATTTTCATTGGAGGTAGAATTATAGAAGATTTTTTATTTTGTGCTTTTAGTGTCAAAGTTTTTAAAAGTGATATGCATTATCATTATGATACTTTTAAAGATGTTTTTCTCCATTAAAAAGATTTAATGTTAAAATCATCATTTATGTTAATTAATCTTGATTAGTACAAAATTGTCTTAAGTCTGGCAGTCTTAGAAATTTATCCTAAAGTATAGCCTTATTTTCTTTATGAGTTTTCATGAACTTCAACTTATAGAAGAATTTATGTTTAATATATTTTTCTAGATGTACTAAACTAGTTTGAACAAGAGTTTAAAAAATTAGATGTTATATTCTTGACCTAATATTATTATTTTTACAGAAATGAATTTTGGAATTTTTAAAATCAATTTTGTAACAAGTGACATAAGAAAATAATCAGAATATATTCTGCATTTAGTCAGGGTGTAGCTCAGACTTTGTTACATTATATTTGATGTGTGTGTGTGTGTGTGTGTGTGTGTGTGTGTGTGTGTGTGTGTGTGTGCTTTACAGCATTAAACTTCAGTGGAATTTCCTCTTTAAAATATGTCATATATATCCCATATAGCACTTCTTTATATAAACTGTAGTGTTCCTTTCCCCCCAACATCTGTTTAAATTTCAAATGCCAAAATATTTACTGACCTCAAAGATTATTTGAACCATCCTTTTATATCTAGAGAACATTATCTTCAAATAATCATAGATTGGTGGTCATTTGGTTTTTTAGATTAGTGTTTTGACAGATTAAAAAATGTAGCATAGCTCATCTTACAAATAAACATTCACACAAGGTTAATAAAGTCAAAGATAAATTGTACCTTAAACAACTGAGGAAGACTTTATTCAGGGTTATTGTGATGGGGGAGAGAAATGGAATCCAACTCCAGTGAGACAGAGCTGCTGGGTTTTTCAGTCCTGGACTGAGCTACAGAAAGCACTGGAGGACTGTAAGGGAAACGTTAGTTAATTAATTAACAGTTTAGCATAGAACTTAGACCCCTATACTTCCACGGGTCAGGTACTCTATCTTCCTTGTTATTTACATTTCAAGGAGATGGCTTCCAGATCCTGGAGAAAGGTATTCCTTTGTTGTAAAATTGATAAGAATATGGAAGAAGATTTACATTTCAAAGGATGGAGAAAATGCTTGTAATTATAAGTTTTCTAAACTAAATGATTTAACAAAAGATTCATTGTGAATCTACAGCAGGAAAAAAACTGTTCAAGTTTTAATGAAAACTAGGAAAAATTTAGGTCATCCTGGCTGACAATCAATCTATAAATAGATTAACTGTATTAACTTGGCTATATGTGTTATGCTTAGAACTAAAATGCCCCCCAAAGGTCTCATACGTCACATGTTCAGAGGTGAGGTCTTTATAAGTTGAGTGGGGTGTGACTATTGCTGTACCATTAGTCAACTGACGAATTCATGTGCTGTTAGGAGGTGAGACTTGGTTGTTAGGAGAGTGACCTTGGAAGTGTGAGTTCTGGCTCTTTCTCTTTCTCTCCCTCCCTCCTTTCTTTCCTCCCTCTCTCTTTCCTTCCTTTCCTTTGTTTTTCCTTCATGGCTGCTATGGGTTGAGCATCTTCTCTCTGCCATGCCCTTCCACCACACCATAACTTTTGGATTCATCTCACCAAGGACTGAACTCACTAAAAGTGTGAGCCAAAATAAACTTCTTCTATAAGTTGTCAGTTATTTTGTCTCAGCAATGGAAAAGTGACAAATGCACTATACTTAGATACACATAAAGAGGTAGAGTGATCTTTTAAAATTGTATCATAGGGGCTGGGGATTTAACTCAGCAGCATAAGCACCTGCCTGGCAAGCAGGCAGTCGTGAGTTCGATCCCTGGTACCAATAAAAAGGAAAAAGCCAAAAAAATTGTATCATAATACCTAAAGCATGTGTTTTAGTGATAATACAATATTTTATATATTCTACCTTTTCTGAGTTTGTGCTGTTCTCTTTTCTAATGATTGCTTTCTATTATTATCACTGCTGAGATTTCCTAAGATAACTATCAATCAAGTTTGATCATATTTTCATCTCAGGTAGCTGCTAAGTTTTGAAACTTTAACTGCTAAAGCACCTAAACTGACAATTTTATCCCCAAGACACTCATGTATAACTTTAAGGGTAGTTATGAGAAATGACTGAGATAATGTATGTGAAAACACATTGCACAGTTCCTGGAAAGTAATTAGAATTAAAAGATACTTTTAATGATTTTATCTTTCATGCAGTTATTTTCCCACTTTTCCCAAGACCTGTCACTCTTTTTCTTGATTTCGGGGCTTCAGTCTAATTGTTTCTACCCTTACCTGTGGAAGTTTATTGTCGCTGTCCAAACTGTGATTTCACAGTTCCAGAAATACTCAGATCCTTGCTTGGCTGATCTACTAGATACACCCACCTCCTCATGTGCATGCTCCAGTTGGGATTCTCTCCTACAACTCAACAATATTTATCATTGAGAGAGGCCAGACAGACATGTTGCCTTAGCTACTGGCATCTGTAGATTGATAAGACGAGCAACTGGGTTCTGACATAGCCTGCATGTGAACAAACCCTCAAAGAGATACCTTCAGTATGATAACTGACCAAGTGAAGAAAAGACAAGATAAAGGAAAATCAGAGAAAAAGCAAAAATTACATTTAAAAAGTTGCAAAGGAAAGAAATGATGTTATAGAATGATAATTATTTATAAAATTAAAAATAAAGGAAATATTTGTATTTAGGCAAATTTTGTTTTGCTTTGTTTTGTTTTAAAGAACTCAATGATTTAAAAATGACAGTGTAAAGAAAAACAGAGAAGTTGGTAGTGGATGACATTGCTCACTGTCTCCCCTTTGGTCTAGTTTCTTCAAATCATCTTCTATTTCAAAGGGACATCTGATCTCATTTGAGGACAATCCTTCCATCCTCCTTCCTCCTCCACTCCTTGCTTTATTCTGTAGGTGTGTTTAATATCTTTTCTCTTTAGCAGCAATGTGCAGTGTTTGCTTAGCAAAGTAAAGAATTTTTGTAAGCCTAAAACATACAACAGCTCTATTATAAATATTTGAGAAACTATTACCATTATCCTCCATAATAAATACTATGAAAAATTTAATATATATAAAAGAAAAATGATAGAATAAAAGAAGCAAATGTGAAAACTAGGGAACATTGTCACATTTCTTGTGCTCACTTTCCCCTGACAATAGCTTCATGAACATTTTATAATGACCGATGGACTGAATAATAACGAAAATAAAATTTTAATTTTCTTTCATTTTAACACTATTTAATAGTTATTGTGCCTACTCCTTAAAAAGCATAAAATAGCACTTTTATTATTCACAAAAGAACTACATTTGTGTGAATACTATTGTGAAATTATTTCATACATCTCTTATGTGACACTCAAAGACGTTCAAATACAAATATAAAAAAGAGGACTGAATGTTGATGAAGTTATGTAACATAAGTATGGATGGCTCAGAAAGATTTTTCATTATTGAGAAACAGTGGCAATATATTTGTGGGAAAATTGATTACCGAGTCAAAACTGTGCTTTTTTCCAGTGGAACTGTACCTCTTTACCATTAATCCTGTAATAAATTGGATCCAAGTCATATTTAATTTATAATCACTGCTACATTATTGAGTCAGCATGTATTTAGGAAGTCTTGAATGCATGGATCAGTGCAGAGATAGACTGTCATTTAGCTTTATTGATGATATCACAGAACAATAGTACAGTTACTAATAAGATACCTACCCCATAGCCTATATTTTTAAAGAATGCATGAAAATAATCCTTAAGATTATCAATAATAAAGAATTACCAATAACTACAATCAGTTGCTAGGAAATTTAAGATAACTATAAAACAAGCATTTTACAAATCCACTCTGTCTTGAGTGAATTTTTCATATTTTATTTTAACTTTGATTTGCATCTGAAATCTATCTTTTCATAGATATATTCAGTTCTACTAGTCTTGTTTACTTTTCAATTGTTTTGTCTTGCTCATCCATATATATGGATAATTTTGAGGTAGGATAAAAGAAATAAAGAAAGAAGAATAGGAAAAGTGAAATTTTAAAATTGTACTTTAAAAATACCCTACAGCTTTTGGAGACAAATTTACCTCAGGTTATAACAGGTTTTTCCCCGCTTTGGGGGAACTCCAAGAAAAAAAAAAATTCCTAAGGACCTTAAAAGCCTATAAATTAGACTTCTGATTTTCACCCAGAAATTGATCCTGTACTTTTCTATTTTCCTCATGTAGTAATCCATCCTGAAGGAACCAGCATCATAGACAACTAAGTTATTTAGAAATATAGGCAGTCAGACAGGCCTGGGCCATGCAGAGGTCAGTACAGAAGAAAACTGGCTGGAGGCACATTCCTTGAAGGTCAGGCCTCAAGGACAAAGAGGAATGACTACACCCACATACTTCCCTTAGGGGTGAACAGCCGTGATTGATATTCTTCGTAGGCATCAATTGCGGTAGGAGCAGGACCAAACCTTCTTAACCTGCTCCATCAAGGAAAGTCTTTCTCTGTCCCACCTATGCTCACTAAGTAACTTGCTTCATGATTTGATCTTCATTTAATATTACCTAAGCAACTATACTCATTTTCTTATTGTTTCACATACTTTTATCCTACCTCACACCCACTTTGTGATTTCACGTTGAATTATTAATACCTAAATGACTATACTTGCATTCTTATTAGTTAACTATGATTTCGTTCCATGTTACACCTGCCTCAATTTGTGGCTTTGCTCAGCAAAACATCCCTGAGAAGCAGGGTCAGCTGGCTATCCACTCAGGATCCCCTTCCATCCCCCTTAGACTGAAGCTTTTCTTTCAATA